GGACGATTTGAATCAGCGTTTATCAGCCAAGGCTATCGGCTTCCCTTTGTTAATGAAAACTTAGAAATTATCTTTGACCATCAGCAAGAGGTCACGGTCACTCTCTGTCTCTCTGTCTCTCTGTCTCTCTGTCTCTCTGTCTCTCTGTCTCTCTCTCTCTCTCTCTCTCTCTCTCTCTCTCTCTCTCTCTCTCCTCGTGTTCAGAAAGACTCGAAGTGTTCCTTGTTTGCCCCTTAATTCAAACTAAATAGAAATACATTTGTGCATCAGTTACACCTCAAATGCACACTCGCAATCGAATTCATTTGATCGAGTCAGAGCCAACCAGATTTCCCTCTGTGAATGTGCAATAGTTATAGTCCGGACAACACCAAATGGACAACTTGTCGACCTCGTTACATTGGAACTAAGACGCGAATTGTCCTGATTTTTTACATGTACCTCTGAATTCCAAGAAAAACTAAAATGTCTCGATTTTCGTGCATATACGACACATAAAAAGGTGGTTTCTATTTTGTCATTAGTGTTATTTATTACACTCTGAGCAGGAATTTTTTAATAGACCAAGAAGGGTAGTCAAGTTAGTTGTTTTATTTTGTTTAAATCTATTTTCTTTTTTTAAAAACTGATTGCATGCGCCGCAAGACTGAGTTGTTTTCAATCAAGTGGTTATTGGGTGACAGTGGCGTTGTTTTGGTCGACTCATTGTGATATGCAAAGAGTGAAATTTCTTTCATATCTTCCGTCATTGAGATCGCATGCGTTTCAATTTACTGTCGCTTTTGCATGAAACACCATTCATTCTTAGGTTACTTAATTTACAAACCCCAAAACGTTGCCTTAAAACTACTGAACTATTTCTCCAAAGAAGCTGATCGAAGATGTCTTTTTTATTGTATAACAAATCCCCCCCCCCCCAAAAAAAAGGAAAAGACATGTAATTGTAAGTGTAAAACAGGGGTGGGGGTGGGGGGCTTTGCCAATGAACTAGTGACATGCCCATTAGCGCTTAAAATATAGCACTCTGTTGACTCCCGTTTTTTGGATTTGACTAAATAGAGAGATATGCACGAAAATCGAGATTTCTCAGGTTTTTAGAATTCAGAGGCGAATGCAAAAAATCAGAGAGATTCGCCTTTTAGATTTCGCGTAATGAGGTCGACAAGTTGTCTATTTGGTGTTGTCCGGACAATACAATAATTTTGGCACAATTCGATCGTATGCGGCTAAATTCGACTGTGAGCTTCTAAAATCGATTGAGTCATTTTCCAAGGTCGCTAGTCGAATCTGTCGTTACGAATCTGTGATGTTGTAGCAGCTTTCTCTGGAGGCGGTTAGCAGGCGCTTTGCTGTCCCGAGCACAAGACATGAGTTCGATTCCCGAGTGGGTAGATAATTTTGATCGAATATCTTGGTTTTGTTCCTCTGGGATTTTGCATCATTCTCATCCTGGTTGTCCCAAACAGGCAGGGTCAGAAGCCTGCCCCCTATATAATCTAAATTGTGTGAATGGGTGTAAAAAGCACGTATGTATTTAAAAAATTAGCCTGGTTGGACACTGGGCAGTTTACTATTGTGCTTATGGGTGACAAGGAGTTCTCAGTAACCAAACAAATATACACACCAAGGAAAAAAACTTACAAGGACACGATCATTTTACGACACGATCATACAGGTTTGATAAAATAGGAGCAAACCATGCCAGAGCACACATATTTTAAGATCCAAAATAGATAATGAGTGAATAGCAATAAAATTATTATCAAGAATCAAACAAGATGGACGCAGAACTCAGTTTATCATTTTTATTGGAATGTTACAGTAATGTTATAGATTATTGGGGACAAAAACAATATTAGAATGGCAATGACAACAGCGATATAAAAAAACCTAATAAAAATAATCAACACAAAAGGGAAACAAAGAAACAAAAAAAAGGGCTTTTCAAAGCTCTTAACATTTAATTAAACTGTGTCAGAGTAGGATTTCTGTAAGCGAAACAAATAAACTGTAGTGGATCTCATAAGAACAATCCAGAAAACCAATAGAAACTTGCGCGAACACTATAAAATGTCTTTTCATAAGCCTGTCTCATTCTTAACAAGCACAACGAACGAGGCAACTCGTTTTGTACTAACCAACATGTGAACGTATTCAAATACTGGTCTTTACTTTCAGCTCTTTCCCTTGGTCGCAGATCCTTTTCCGTCACATATCTTTCTGTGTGTGTTTTACAACGCCCGCACCTGCATAAGGTCATATGAGCGGGTGCCCGGTGGCAGCCGAAGCTTATTCTTATAGCTTTTAGACCATCAAGGGATCTTAAACATGAACAACTTGCACACAGGACCTCCAATATTTTTAACCCTTGTCCGAGAAGGCTAGGTGTGGTGTAGATTTTTGTACTAGAAGTTCAGGGCGTGGCTGAAAGACAGCAGAGAGAAAGAACCAAGAAGTAGCAGTAGAACGGCTGCAGCTAGAGTCAGGAGCCTAGAGGAGGGGGCAAAGGAGGTTAGGGGGTGGGGGCAGAAAGTGGAGAAGAAAGTAGACGACAGAACATTGCTAGGGAGCAGAGAAAGAGGTGAAAGGAGGCAATTTTAGAGACGAAAGGTTCCCGTCGCTACCGGATTCGAACCCGGGACCTTTGAATGAGAGGTAAACATCTTAACATCCAGGCATCAAGAGCCCACTTATATATTTTCTGTGTGAGGATAGGACGATTCTCACATCGAAAAGATGTGACTGAGAAAGATCTGCGTACACAGAAAAGCAACCCCAAAAAAGTATTTTAGAAAAATGTGACATACGGGTTTCTTGTTTTTTAGTAGAGCATTTACGGCGCTCGCAACTGCATAAGGTCATATGAGCGCCAAGGGGTGGATGTCAACTGAGAAGTCCTTACAGGGAATCCGGTTTACTCTGCTCTCCTCTCTTGCTTCAATAGCAAAAAGTCTGCTTCGACTGTCAAGGCAACCCGGAAATAGCGGATCACAAGAGTAGGACAGACATACAAAAGAAGTAGAGGTAAAATGACTATAGTAAGGATTAGGAAAGAAAAAGTAGCAGTTCCCTGTTGCAGTTCAGTCACAGTTATGAGCGTGACATTGATGAATCAGCCCATTTACAATTCTACAGTGCAAAAGAAAATGTTAATGTCCCCGCTTTGGAAATGGCCTAAAGACACTTCGGTCAGTTGCATCCCGGGGTGGG